TTTGAGCTGAGGTTCTGGGAGCCTGTAGATAGATTTCAGGAGGCCTATAAACTTGGATGGGAAAAATAATTATATCTTTGTTTTCACTAAACTCAGACTGAAATTTATCATTTTCTTCTATTTGAATGTAGACAACAAACTTCAGTAGTATTGATGATTACATTCCATAGATTACATTTAATTGATGAAGCCTGCACATCTCCAGGGAACTCCTTACAAGCTAGCCAGTGAGCTTTTATGATGGTAAAATACAGAATGGATAAAAATCTGATGCCAAAAAAGCTTCGGGCCTGCCTAAGTTAGGATCTGTTTTCTTTTTTTCTTTCTTTTTTTTTTTTTTTTTAAATAAAAGATAGGCTGGGCGCAGTGGCTCAAGCCTGTAATCCCAGCACTTTGGGAGGCCAAGGTGGGTGGATCACGAGGTCAAGAGATCGAGACCATCCTGGTCAACATGGTGAAACCCCGTCTCTACTAAAAATACAAAAAATTAGCTGGGCATGGTGGTGCGTGCCTGTAATTCCGGCTACTCAGGAGGCTGAGGCACGAGAATTGCCTGAACCCAGGAGGCGGAGGTTGCGGTGAGCCGAGATCGCGCCATTGCACTCCAGCCTGGGTAACATGAGTGAAACTCCGTCTCAAAAAAAAAAATAAATAAAATAAAATAAAATAAAAGATGAGGTTTCACCCTGATGGCCAGGCTGGTCTTGAACTCCTGACCTCAGATGATCCACCCACCTCAGCCTTCCAAAATGCTAGGATTACAGGTATAACCCACCGCTCCCTATTTTCATATTATCACCAGGTCAAATGTCTTGCAAACTTTCTTAGCTTTCATCTTATCAGAATGCAATTCATGACAGTGAGGTGTCAAAGACTCCCTAAACCACACTTCAGTTATGCTCTGCTAACGTCTCTTTGGACTAGGCTTCAAACTTGCTCCACCCCCAGCTTTGACCTGCCCAGCCCAGCCTTAGCAAGGAATTCTGCTGAATTATCTCCCAACCCTAGATATCTAATTACCCTAGATATCTGATCAAGATCTTCATCCTCCACCTTTTTGATGTCTAAGTCCTTGCACTGCCTTTAGCAAGAGTCCTTTTAGGCCAGCTTAGCAAGAATTTCCCTGCCCTTGATGTGTCCTTTCAGCAATTTCCCATCCTTTGACCTGCCCATTGCTGTTCTTGGCTATAAATCTTCACTTGTTCTTGCTGTTTCAGAGTTGAGCCCCTTCTTTTTCCCCTCCAATTGCAATGGTCTTGAATGAAGTCTTCTTTACCGTTTTAACAAGTGGCAGAATAATTTTTTTAACATGTTTTCATACCACAGTCAACAGACCCTTATCCTCCCCAAAACTCTGAGCTAACATCACTATTTAGAACTGCATCAATGATTTTGGAGCTAAATTTTTCATTTTTACATGAAAGATTATGTGTTTATAATTTGGTTTTTTTTGTTTGTTTGTTTGTTTGTTTTTGAGACGGAGTTTCGCTCTTGTTGCCCAGGCTAGAGTGCAATGGCGCGATATCGGCTCACCGCAACCTCCGCCTCCCGGGTTCAGGCAATTCTCCTGCCTCAGCCTCCCAAGTAGCCGGGACTACAGGCACGCGCCACCATGCCCAGCTAATTTTTTGTATTTTTAGTAGAGACGGGGTTTCACCATGTTGACCAGGATGGTCTCGATCTCTTGACCTCATGATCCACCCGCCTCGGCCTCCCAAAGTGCTGGGATTACAGGCGTGAGCCACCGCGCCCGGCATAATTTGTTGTTTTAACTTAAGCATAAACAGAACCAGGAAGAACTATACTCAGCGGCCAAGTCAGAAGAAAAAAAATCACCATGTTCAAACAGGGAACTGAACAGACCTCTGAAAACTGAGGCAAAGGGATTATTGTTAACATGTGTAGACTATGAGCCGAGTGTGGTGGTTCACACTTACAGTCCCAGCACTTTGGGAGGCCATGACAGGAGGATTGCTTGAGCCCATGGTAAGACCCCATCTCTACAAAAATTTTTTTAATTAGCTAGGTGTGATAGTGTGCACCTATAGTCCAAGCCACTCAGGAGACTGAGTTGGGAGGATCGCTTAAGCCTGGGAGATTGGCCAGGCGCGGTGGCTCGTACCTGTAATCCCAGCACTTTGGGAGGCCAAGATGGGCAGATCACAAGGTCAGGAGTTCCCCAGCCTGGTCAACATAGTGAAACCCTGTCTTGACTAAAAATACAAAAATTAGCTGAGTATGGTGGCGCACGCCTCTAATCCCAGCTACTCGGGAGGCTGAGGCAGGAAAATCGCTTAAACCCGGGAGGCAGAGGTTGTGGTGAGCCAAGATTATGCCACTGCACTCCAGCCTGGGCAGCTGAGCGAGACTCTGTTCCCCCCTACCCCGAAAAAAAAAAAAAAACAGTCTGGGAGGTCACAGTGAGCTGTGATTAAGGCACCAGACTCCAACCTTGGCAACAGAGCAAGACCCTGCCTCTACAATTTTTTTTTTTTTTTTTGAGTGGAAGTCTGGGCACAGTGGCCCACACCTGTAATCCCAGCTTTTGGGGGCCAAGGCAGAGGGATTCCTCTCAGAAGTTTGAGAACAGCCTTAGCAACATGGTGAAACACATCTCTACAAAAAACACAAAAATTAGCCAGTGATGGTGTGTACACCTCTAGTCCCAGCTACTTAGGAGGTGAGAGAATCGCTTGAGCCTGGGAGGTCAAGGCTGCAGTGAGCCGTGATCATGCCATCACACTGTGTCCTGGGTGATAGAGTGAGACCAAGTCTTTAAAAAAATCTATAGAACGTGAAGCAAAGTGAGAGACGTTTGAAAGCATACGTAGGAAAATCAGGTATTCTCCTAGAGCTGGCTCTCTGTTGGGACAGAGACCTTTAAAATGTTTTTAGTGCTGCAGATGGCACCCTACCCTCCTGCAAAGATAAGAGTGCATTTACTTCTGTCACCGTGGATTACCTTTGCACATGTATTCTTTTCTTAGGGCTGCTGTAACAAAGTACTACAAACTGGGTGGCTTCAAAATAACAGAAATTTATTGTCACACTCACAAGAGGCCAGAAGTCAGAAATCATGGTGTCGGCTGGGCCATCTCCCTCTGGCAGCTCTAAGGAAGGACCTTTCCTTGCTCCTTCCTGGCTTCTGGTGTTTGCTGGCAATCCTCAGTGTTCCCTGGCTGGTAGATGGATCGCTTCAGCCTTTACCTCCATGGTCACGTGGCCATCTTTTCCCTGCGTTTCTTTATATAGTCTCCACCCCACACGCGGAGGCGTGTGTCAGTTTCTGTGTGGCTGAATTTTCCCTTTTTATAAAGATACCAGTCCTATCGGATTGGGCCTGTTCTAATGATCTCATTTTAATTTTTATGTTTATAAAGACCCTGGGAGTTAGGACCTCACCTTATCTTTTTTGGGAGACAATTGAACCTACAGAGCATGTTTTTGAACTTTACATGCAGAATCACACTGTATGTAGTCTTTTGCATCTGGCTTATTTCAGTCAGTATATTACTAGATTCATCCATGTTGCAAGTAGCAGTTTCTATTCATTGTCAGTCCTATCTAACCAGTATATCAAGACTCTGCAGATTATGGTGTGAAGTCCAAATGCATCATGACTGATTTTTTTCCCCACATGAATATCTAGGTATTACATAAGAAAATGTGGTTTTTGGTTTCTGTGGTACTTTTTTCCTTATTTCTCTTTGTTTGAATAGGAAACAAATCTAATTAAGCCTTAATGGAAAGAAAACTTTTATATCCCTTCTTTCCATGCCTGTGAATATGTTACATGTATAAATGTTTATATCTATTCTGTGGTCACTGTACATTTTGAACTAAAACATAGCTTATAGTTGTCACATAAGTTTATGGAAAAAGTTAAATATTTTACTTAATTGATTTATTTCTACCCTGTAACTTTGCACATAAGACCTGATAATACAAGCTTGTTGCTAAAAAAAATTTTTTTGAAATGATCCAGAAGGATATAAAGTCAAAGTAATAGTCTCTTCTGGATATTCTTACAAGGTTTTTTTTTTCTTTTTTTTTTTTTTTTGAGGCAGAGTCTTACTCTGTTGCCCAGGCTGGAGTGCAGTAGCATGATCTTGGCTCACTGCAACCTCCCCCTTCTGGGTTCAAGCAATTCTGCTGTCTCAGCTTCCCGCGTAGCTGGGATTACAAGTGTGCATGTGTATGTGTGTGTCCCCTGTATTTCCAACACACCTGGGATGCTAATATGCATAGTAATCTATAACTTGCTTTTTACATTTAATAATATATTATGACTACATTTCCATTTTAGTACAATAAAGCTTCTTCTTATTCTTTTTTTCTCCTTTGAGATGAAACCTTGCTCTGTCGTCCAGGCTGGATGGAGTACAGTGGTGTGATCTCGGCTCACTGCAACCTCCCCATCCCAGGTTCAAGCAATTCTCCTGCCTCAGCCTCCTGAGTAGCTAGGATTACTGGTGCCCGCCACCATGCCTGATTAATTTTTTTTTTTTTTTTGTATTTTTAGTAGAGTCAGGGTTTCACCATGTTGACCAGGTTGATCTCCAACTCCTGATCTCAGGTGATCCACTTACCTTGGCCTCTCAAAGTCCTGGGATTACAGGCGTGAGCCACTGTGCCCAATCTTTCTCATTTTTTGAAATAATTTTATAATGTTCTATTCAATGAATGCATGATAATGTGTTCTCCAAATAGTGAATATTTAGACCATTTCCATTTCTTTATGTAAGTATACATGGATTTATTTCTCTATTTACTTCTATGAAAACATATTCAAGAATGATTTTTCGATGTTGAATTGCTGGGTCATATGTATGTGCTTTTAGGTTGTTGACAGATATCACGAAATTGCCATTCAAAAAAAGGCAGTACCAATTTACATCCCATGAGGTGTTTTTATTATTATTTTTAACTACCAGGACTTTACACTTTGTAAAATCTACAGTAAGAGAGTTATGTATCGATTGTTTCCTCTGTTGTTTCAGAACAATGAGATGGTGGAGCTACAGAGAATACGGATGAAGGATGAAATCCGAGAATATAAGTTCCGGGAGGCCCGACTCCTTCAGGACTATACTGAATTGGAAGAAGAAAATATCACATTGCAGAAACTAGTGTCCACATTGAAGCAGAACCAGGTAAGGCTTAAGAAATTTTTTGAGTTATACTGAAGATGGATCTACATCTTCTGACCACTAGGGTTAAATGTCCTCTTTATTTCTCAGGAAGGAGCTTGTCCAAATTTGTTGTTGGTCTTTAATCTTCTCTCTATAATATTTATGTACTGAAATGTCCCAACCTTCCTATTTTAGCTAAAATATAGAAAGAAAAAATATACACCTGTAAGTAGTATAGTGTACAGTAAAGCTTTATTAAATAAGAAAAAGAATTTTATGTTTTATTTTAGCTTTGCACTCATTTATTTCGTAAGTCAAATGTATCGTAACAAATTTAACCTGACTACTTCTCATTAAAAGCCGGGTTCTTAGCCAGGTGTGATGGTGTATGCCTATAATCCCAGCTACTTGAGAGGCTGAGGCAGGAGAATTGCTTGAACCCAGGAGGTGTAGGTAGCAGTGTGCCCCAATCGAGCCATTGCATTCCAGCCTAGGTGACAGAGTGAGACTCTATCTCAAAAAAAAGAAGTGGCCAGGTGCAGTAGCTCATGCCTGTAATCCCCATGCTTTGGGAGGCCGAGGTGGGCAGATCATGAGGCCAGGAGATCGAGACCATCCTGGCCATGGTAAAACCCTGTCTCTACTAAAAATACAAAAAATTAGCCAGGCACGGTGGCATGCACCTATAGCCCCAGCTACTCAGGAGGCTGAGGCAGGGGAATTGCTTGAATCCAGGAGATGGAGGTTGCAGTGAGCCGAGATTGTGCCACTGCACTCCAGCCTGGCAAAAGAGCAAGACTCCATCTCAAAAAAAAAAAAAAAAAAAAAAAGCCTGGGTCTGTAAGCTTGTCTTTAAGCTTAAGGTCTCCCTACAATCACTTGTCTCTCACTCTCTTAAAATTTTTTCTATAAATTGCTTTCAAATCATAGAGGGGAATGGATTATGAAGTATAAATCAAGAAGAGCAAAATTATAAGAAAAAGAGGCTGGGCGTGGTGGCTCACACCTATAATCCCAGCACTTTGGGAGTCGGAGGCAAGTAGATCACCTGAGGTCAGGAGTTCAAGACCAGCCTGGCCAACATGGTGAAACCCCGTTTTTACTAAAAATGCAAAAATTAGTCAGGCATGTTGGCGGGCACCTGTAATCCCAGTTACTCAGGAGGCTGAGGCAGGAGAATCACTGGAACCCGGGAGGCGGAGGTTGAAGTGAGCCGAGATCACATTACTGCACTCTAGCGTGGGTGACAGAGCGAGACTCCATCTCACAAAAATGAAAACAACAAAGAAAATGCCTGTTTTCTTTTTCAGCTGTAACCTGACTACAAAGATTACATTTGTATATTTAAAAAAAAAAAAATATATATATTTATATATATATATATATTTTTTTTTTTTTTTTTTTTTGTTGTAGTGGGGCTTTGATAGCTTAATTTTCCTGATTGGTTTGCATTGTGGGTTTTCAGAGCTATTAATAATTATTGAATCTGTAATTTTAGAATTTATTTATGAATACAGTTGAATCAAGTAGTTAAGCAAAGGTGAATTAGATGTTCAAGTTTGTTCAAGTTCTTTTCAAGGTGCTTCCTCAGTGACACCTCTATTCTTGTCTAAATGCTGTTGTCACCTCTCAGTTAGATCAACAGCCTATGTGCCAGGTGCTATGCTCGGCTGGACAGACACAAGAATCCGTAGGGCATGATTCTTGTCCTCTGTAAACTTAGAAGCCAGGCCAGATGTATGCTTTTCCTTTACTCCCTTCCTGAATAGGTATCTATTTCCAAATTATTTGGACATGATAGAGAGATGATTGATTGATACATAGATATAATTTTTTTCATAGATAGATATAATTTTTTTGTTTGTTGTTGTTGTTGCTGCTGCTGTTGTTGTTTTTTGAGATGGAGTCTTGCTCTGTCTCCAAGCTAGAATGCAGTGGCATAATCTCAGTTCACTGCAACCTCCACTGACCGGGTTCATGCGATTCCCCTGCCTCAGCCTCCCAAGTAGCTGGGAGTACAGGCGCACACCACCACACTGGCTAATTTTTTGTATTTTAGTAGAGACGGGGTTTCACCATGTTGGCCAGGATAGTCTTGATCACCTGACCTCGTGATCTGCTCACCTCAGATTCCCAAAGTGCTGGGATTACAGGTATGAACTGCCACACCCAGCTGCTAGATATAATGTTTTGATAGATAATAAGGGCTAAGGGGGGAAAGAAAAAAATCCAGAAGAGAAAAATCCATGTAGTGACACAATTAAATTTGATTAAAAAAAAAAAAACATGTTTTTTTGACATAGAGTGTCACTCTGTTGCCCCATGCTGGAGTGCAGTGGCGCCATCTCAGTTTACTGCAACCTCCACCTCCCAGTTCAAGCAGTTCTCCTGCCTCAGCCTCCTGAGTAGCTGGGATTGCAGGCACGAACCACCACACCCACCTAATTTTTGTATTTTCAGTAAAGACAGGGTTGTACCATGTTGACCAAGCTGGTCTTGAACTCCTGAGCTCAAGTGATCTGCCTGCCTGAGCCTCCCAAAGCTCCCGGATTACAAGCATGAGCCACAGTGCCTGGCTGAAATTTGATTTCTGATCATTGCCACTTCCCTCAGATTTGGAGTGGTAGGCGGAAGGCAGGTGGGGGACAGTTTCAGTCCAACAAAAAAGGGCTACGGGGGTATCTGCATGTGTTTCTGCCTCATTCCTTCTCCTATAAGCACTGAATCCCCATATGTGTGCTGACGGCAGGCCATTCCAGGGGCTCCCAGGTCTTGATTTGACTGGGATAAGTGAACTCACAGTGGAGAAATGCAGACTTAGAAAAATATATTTGTAAAGATGCTTCTCAATATTTTTTAAAATAAGAAGGTTATTTTTTTTTTATGGTCCTTTTTTTGGTTATTGATGAAGCACATAGAGGATTTGAAACAAATTTACTTGAAGTGCAGCTATTTAAAGTGGCCCTTCCTTCCCGATTCCTTCAATCCTCACTGCTCTCTAGAGCGTGGCGGGAGCATGACCAGCAGTGTCCCTGGTGAGCATTCCATGACCGCGTGTGTAGACCGATGGACTCAGGAGGTTAATGAAGGCCAATATTAGATGCTCTTGAAAGACTGCCAAGGTATTCCTTGAGCGTTCATTAACCCAGTTGCCGTTGCTGGGAGAATTTGTATTGTCACTCCTATTGTGAGTTTCCTCATGCCTTTCTCCCAGTAATTGAAACATGGAATCCAATGGTTAACTCAGAAGATTTTTTTAAAGGCGGGAGGGACTTACACATCTTTTATTTGCAACATGCCATATGCTAATTTTCCCAATTAAGTATCTAATTAATTCATTCAAAATCATTTTCTGCACAGAGCACCCTTCTGGTGTATTCCCTGAAATTGGGGGAACCTGAAATGCCACAAGTCTCTCCCAGCTAAGAAAATGCTGTGTTTGTTTCCAGTAGTAATTGACCTTTATTTACAGATGCTAGCATCTATCATAAACTCTTTGTAATCAATAAGGTTTTTTGGTTTTGGGGTTTTTTTAAGAGACGGGGTCTTACTCTGTTGCCCAGGCTGGAGTGCAGTGGCTCAGTCTCAGCTGGGATTACAGGCATGTGCCACCATGCCCAGCTAATTTTTGTATTTTTAGTAGAGACAGGGTTTTGCCATGTTTGCCAAGCTGGTGTCAAGTGATTTGCCCCCCCTTGGCCTCCCAAAGTGCTGGGTTTACAGGCATGAGCCACCATGCCTGGCCCTAATTAATGAAGTACTAAGTACCATATTGTATGTACAAATGCCACAGAGTTTTTAAAAGAGATGACAATGAGTAGCATTCAGTCACAAAATTGGGCTGTGTTACTTTGTACTGAAATTCCCCGTATATTGTAGAGTCCTTCAGCCTGGTTTGATGTTTCTCTGAACAGCAAAGCTGCTACCATTTTAAAATGCTTAGTTCAAAGAATTTTCCCTTCTGAAGCATTATTTTTCTTTTAACTATTGATTATTTTCTAAGTATAGTGTAATTGTTGTTTAAACAACGCCTCTAACTTTCTATATAGGGTCTATTTATTCATTTGTTTCCATTCCATCTCCTTCCATTAACATACAGCACCTACAATAGGGCCTGATCCATAGTAGACATTAATTAAATAAACACTTGTTGAAAGAATTAAAAACTGACCAGGCACGGTGGCTCACACCCGTAATCCCAGCACTTTGGGAGGCTGAGGAGGATCACTTGAGTCCAAAAGTTTGAGGCCAACCTGGGCAACATAGGGAGAACTTCTCTCTACCAAAAAATAAAAATAAAAATAAATAACCAAGTGTGATGATGCACACCTGTGGTCCCAGCCACTTGGGAGGCCGAGATGGGAGAATTGCTTGAGCCTGGGAGGTTGAGGCTGCTATGAGCCGTGATCACACTTCTGTACTCCAGCCTGAGCAACAGAGACCCTATCTCAGAAAAAAAAGAAAAGAAAGGAACAATTCAATCACACTTCTATTATGAAACATTTCCTCGGATGTCAGGTAATATATAAGAATATCATAAGGTAAGGCTGGGCGCAGTGGCTCATGCCTGTAATCCCAGCACTTTGGAAGGCTGAGGCTGGCAGATCATGAGACCAGAAGTTTGAGACCAGCCTGGCCAACACAGTGAAACCTCATCTCTACTAAAAATACAAAAGTTAGCCAGGCATGGTGACAGGCGTCTGTAATTCCAGCTACTTGGGAGATTGAGGCAGGAGAATCACTTGAACCCAGGTGGTGGAGGTTGCAGTGAGCTGAGATCATGCCACTGTACTCTCCAGTCTGGGCAACAGAGCTACTAGACTCCATCTCACAACAAAAAAAAAAAAAAAAAAAAAAAAAAATATATATATATATATATATATATATATATATATATATATCTCATAAGGTAATATCATAAAAGACCCAGGAAATGTATTCAACTCAGTTTTATTTCATTTAACCAGTATTTCAGGGGTAGCTGTCTATGAGATCATGTACTTTTTAAAGACAAAAGATAT